AACACACACACACACACACACACACACACACACACACACACACACAAATACCCTTCTCTTTGACCAGAGTACCGTCTGTCATAACTAACTAGAGCACGTATTGTACGCTTCTCTTATTTATGCACAGTTTTCCTGGTTTCTCCCGGCTTCGTATGCACACGAAGGGAGGGTCGCCAGTGGCCTTTGTCGAATACCAAGACGTTCGCTACGCGGCCCAGGCGATGGCCACTCTCCAAGGATCCTTTCTCCTCTCCTCCGACCGGGGAGCAATACGAATCGAATATGCAAAGTCAAAAATGGCCGAGGTGGGCTTTACAAATCTCTGGATCGAAGTAGGTTTCATTTTATGCTACGCTAGCCGCTACAAGACACCGTGTCAACAAAACGCAATCCCGACGAAAACGCAGCATCCCTGTGCGCGACACATTATCCCAGATATATATATATATACATACATATATACATATATATATATATATATGTATATATATATTTTGTCTCGACTCTCATAACTCGTCTCGTATCATCGTCGACGACGTCTCTTCATCACGATGCATACTATTTCCTTTTTTCTTCCCTACGACTTTTCTCTTCTTCTTCTTCTTTTCTTCGATCCTTTCTCTCTCGATCGCATCGCGTTATTGGCCATCGATGTGGCCTCTCGACAATCGTTCCCTTCGTTTTTTTTTTTTATTTTTTTATCCCCTGTTTATCTCCCCGTAGCACGAATTTTTCTTTCTTTCTTTCTTTCTTTTTTTCTTCCATCAAAAAAAGAAAACACTCCAACGAGACTTGCACGAAGCACAGATCTGCGTTTTCGTCGCTGGACATCGCAGTATATATACCGTGGGGAGTTGGATGATATGCCTCTGGAAGGAAACGAGGATATTTTTACGTCGCCACTTTTGCTCGCCCACTCCCATCAGAGACAGGCTTCTCTCACTTTTTTCCCCCTCCCATTTTCCTCTCCTTGGCATTTTTTGGCTGGCCCTGATGATCATGCTGAAATCGGAGAGGGGACGATTCTTCCAGCGAATAAATTTTCTGTTTTTCGCAAATTTTGTTGCTCTTCTGAGAGAGAGAGAGAGAGAGAGAGAGGATAATTGCAGTTGCGATGCTCTTAAATGGATTTTAACAGAGATTAGTATCTCTTAATTGGAGCAATGTAATGTTCATTGTATAAAATTCGCAAACAATTTTAAAACATCTTTTCCCTTTATTACTCAACATCCCCTCTATCTCTTTATCCCTTTGTTAATCGATACTTGAAACTATCAACAGAGATATGACAATCTACATTGAAATCCAGCGGAGAAGCTCGATTACTTTTTTTATATCAAGAGCAACGAAAATTTCCTCTCTCCCTTCGAGCTTCAGGATCATCATTTCAGGATCAACCGTTTAATGGCATTTAACAGCACAATTAATTACATCTGTAAATATTTCTCCACCTATGTACTTCTCAGGGGCATTTTAGCACAGCTCCCTACTCGTACAGTGGTCTCAGCCAGTGAACTGTGAGGCAGCCAATTAAGGCCCGGTTTAGCTCGATCTCGTCGCTTTTCCCTCCTGGATCCTCTCGATCGACGCCTCCCCCTCCTGAGCTGAGCCCACTACGTGATCGCCAACCGCCAATTATCTTCTGCTAATCGCCTATTAATTGTTTATACTCTTAACCCGCAGATCTGCATCTTTTCTTCCTCCTCGTCTCTCTGCTCCCCCCTCCTATTCCTTTCTTCTTTCTTACTCTTTCATTATTTCACGTTCGAGGCTCTCCTCGAGGAATTGAATTCTGTGAAGTTTTCTTTTTTTTTTAGACGTTTTAAACTCGAGTTAGAGTTCGAGCGACGAAGAATTCCCTTCCCTTGGACGATCTTTTTGTTCGAAAGTTTTGATATCTTCGTTGATTCGAGCAAAGGGAATCCGTGTTTCGTTGTTATAACAAAGAATTGGTTAGGACTTTGTAAAGGAAGAAAAAATGATGTAGAAAAGTACAGGCTTGTCCGAGCGGTTCGTCGAGCAAATCGAAATTGGGAAAATGAATCTTTGATGGCAGAAATAGAACGAGACTTGTATTGTCTCGGTTACATTACATTGCCTTGTTCCATTCCTGCCTTGTTTCGTCTAATCCAAACTACTTAATCGCTCGCTTAAAATATAAAATAAGCGACGTTTCTCAACATTATCTTTATTTCCTTCTCTGAAATCGGTCGGTTCGAAAAAAAAATTTAATTCGAAGTCGACTCTTGGATCACTTACTTTAATCGATTTATCGTACGCCAAACAATCAAGATTACACGAAAAACGGATTACAATGGCGAAATGAGTCATTTCAATGAGTCGCTTCTTACTAGTAAACTTTATACTCGAAATTTTCAACTTTTTAGTTTTACTTTTTCTAGACTCTGCCTCTGCATAGAACGTTCTCGCATCCTGTAAAATTTAAAAAAAGGAAGGAAAACTTGCGCTTAATGTAACTTTTCGAGAAAAGAAAAAAATTTGTGAAAAAAAATTATCTTATCTCGAATTGGATAAAAATTCGATTCTTTTAACGACAAATATAATAATCTCGCGCGTAATAACGGAAAAATCATCCTTGCCGCCATTTTCCTTTCCTCTCCCTTTCGAATTTTGCTCGATTTTCTTTTTCTTCACCGCGTTTTCACGCTTGGTGTGCACACCTTGACCTCGTCTGTTTTTCTTTCCTCCTCCTCCTCACTCCTCCTTTTTTTCTTTCTTGTATTTTGTTTTTCCTGGACGTGATCTTTTGATATGCGACACCTTTGCACCGTGTCCTGCCGCGCTTTTCGCTGGAGATCTCGTTGCTGGGAGCGAGATTCTCGGGGGAAGGTCGGATATCTATGTTAAAACGTCGACTAATTGCCGGGTCACGGATAATAAAGGATGAAAGTAGTCTTTTTCTACGGATATTTAAAAAAAAAAAAACGACGTTAAAAAGCGATAAGGCTTCTTCGTAATTTTAATTTTAACTTCGAGATGGTAATTTTTTTTTTTTTTTGTTGCACAATTTTAAAGCAACGATGATAATTGAGAGAAAATTGTTAAATGAAATAAAGTGAAAGAAAGATGTGAAATATTATCTTGCAGGGATTAGAGAATTGGAAAGGAATGCGTAAATTTTAATTTTGATTCCCGTCGATCCTTTCGAGGATAAATAAAGAAATATTGTTTCGAAACGAGTGGAGCGTAATATTTCTTTATCGCGCAATTAAAAATTACCGAGAAAGAAAAACACACGCTTATTCCATTACGTTTTTTTACGGATTTTTTATTTAAATACTACTTTGCCCTGGTGATAGAAGAAATAAGTAAAGAGGGATATCGAGGCTGCCGTGCTTTATAAGCCGGGATTATTGTAGGAGTGGAAAAATCGAGCTGCAAACGGAAATAAAGATCAGAAAGAAAGAATCTGGCGGTAATAATAAAAGATAGCGTGCGTCGACCTGTACGATAATCTTCTCCGTGTAATATCCGCATCCCTTTCCCTTTCCCTCTCTTTCTCTCTCCCTTTCTCCCTGCCGATTTAACGAAATCGCAGAAAGATTGGTAAATTCTTTCCCTTTCCATAAAAATATTATTTTGCATAACGATATCTCTTCTTTTTTAACGCTTTTTTAACTGTTCGCTCGTTTCATATTTCAACTACACGAATTTTTCTAAAGATCGAAAGAGCAAAATTCGTCGCCTGGAATAATTAATAGAAAAAAGAAAAAAGCATCTTCTCCCTCGATTCGTCTCGTCCTTCGTTCGATCGTAGAATTGAACGTCGCATTAAAAAAAGAAACCCGAAAAACTCGAGAACTGGAACAACCCAAGAATATAGGTCGCGATCATCGTGAAAATATTCGATTCGATCGAGGGAAGCTTTCTCTCTCTCTCTCTCTCTCTGCCTACTCGAGAAATAGAAAGAAAGAAAGAAAGAAAAGCGGGTGAGAGATCGGCCGACCTTCCCCTCGGTCGAAATTAGAATGGGATCGATGGTATTACGCTTGGGGGAGGTGATTAACATTTGAACGCGTTCGTCATTAATTCATCGCGGTCGAAACGAAGAGGAGGCCGCTGAAGGAATATCCGATGCGCCTTCTTCCCTTACCTTACTACCCTCTTCTTACCTACTTTCTCCTTATGTATCTCGCGAATTTGAATTCAAACGACCGTCCTGCATCCCCTCCTCTTTCATTCCTTGCTCCAAGGATCCGCCGCCGCGTTGTGGAAAGAAAAAAGAGTGGAGAGAAGAGAGAGAGCTTTTCAGTGAGTGTTCCGGATGCAGTCACGGCCTAATGAGGTACGTAAATTACTCAATGGCAAGCCGTCTCTTCTCCTCGTCGGCCGAGCGGGGCGAAATGTAGGTTGTCTGTTGCTTTCGTTGCCACGGGGGAATGACGGATTCGTGGAAAAGTGCGCTGTAAATCGCGCGCACTCTCCGTTTCATTGCAATACTCGCGATTGAATCGCGGGTTATTATTTTCCGATTAACCTGTTCGGGGACGTAGTTCTTTTCCTTTTTCTTTTCAATTTAAATTAAATTAAATTCTAGAGATGATCGTTTCGATGATAAGAAGGAGAACAGAGAGGTTGCTTGGAAAGTATTGATGACGATGCTTCGTAGTGTAGTCCTCGAGCAGGTTAAGGGAGCGAAGGATCCCCCAAAAATGTTTGTGATAACTGAAAAATTGTATATACTCTTACTATAATATTTCATAGATGAGTAAATATATAGATAGAATTGTTCGAGTCGATCAACGATGCGAATTATCCATCTGAATTGGTTTAAGGTAAATTCGTGTGTACTTCTCGCTGCAATGATTATTTGTCTCTCTGTAGATTCGCGAACTTGAATGGAAGACGCGGAGGAAGTATATTTGCAGCGAAAAGTTTCTCGTATGAGCATGTATCTGTATGTGCTACCGTAAATTTGTCTGGCTTCTATAGGATATTCGCGTTTGAGGGATCCTTGAAAAATTAATATTGTACACGGTGGTTGGGGGAAAACGAAGATCGGGAAATCTGATTTAATTTTATAAAAAAAAAAAAAAAAAAAAAAAAATCGTTGCGTCACGTTTAAAAAGTTTTATTCCCGAGATAAAACGAAATTGAAACGAGAACTATTAAAAATAATAAACTATTCCAATCGAACGAATTCGATTGGATTCCAATTTTACGTATATCGAATTTTCTGCTAATTTTAATTCGATATACCGCGTAATACAAATATTAGCGAGGAAGTTTCCAAGTTTTATTTATCAAATTCGTTTTTAATTTTCTTCTTAAATTATGTTGATAGTATTAATCGATGCGAAATATCGATCAAATAGTCTTGAAGATTTATTATTATTCAAGTGTTATTATTAAACCCTTCTCATATTAAAGTCGATCAATTTTATTTATTAACCAATACTAGTAAACGAGATTTTCACATTTTCGAATTCATTTCACGATCTTTCTTTTCCAAAACCATCTCCCACGCATACCATTATCCATCCACGAAGGGAAGAAAAGAAATATCGAGAAGAGAAGTATATCGATTCGACAGGCTTTCGTCGCCTCTCGAAACTCTCGATTCGATAAACAATCGATCGATTGCGAATCCGCAGAAGAAACGAGACGAAACGAAGTGATTCGCGCATTCCCGTTATTCGTTCATCCGTTTCACGTGGAATTTTCTCGTCGACGATCATACGATCCTCTCCTATTATTATTTTCTTTTATCTTTCTTCTTTTTTTCTTCTTCCCTCCTCCTCTCTCTCTC